CACACACACACACACACACACACACACACACACACACACACACACACGCGCCTTCCCACATACACACACGCCCGAGTGCACGAACGCACACATACACGCGCACACCATTTTACGTAATCATATACACGCCAAACAAACAACAAACACGCGCGGCGCGTGGTGTCTGAGATCAGCGTCGTCTCTGGCCGCCTGGCTGCCACACACGCCCGCCGTGCGTGCGTACATACGGCAAGCAGGCAGCCACTGGCAGCCTCTCTGCTCAATAGGACGGCAGCATGCGATGGATCCGCGCTGATTTTCATAAGTCAATATTTGCTCGCTGTTATGTTCGACGGACTCAATTTGCTTGATGTAGGCCTGCTTCCGGCGCAAAGCAGAGCAGAATAATTCAATGTGATAGAATCTTAATAAGGTTATAATATTTAAATAACAATAAACAGCTCGGATTCTGATAGGCCGCGTAATGGATAGTCTGGATGATATTCTGATTACGGCCGCTAAAGTTGTCGTATGTAAAATTTTGAATCTTACATAAACGCTACATATATCGGTGATAAAATTCTTTATTAGTGCTGGCTATACTCATTGCGATTGATGGATAGTCTGCTTCCCTCCCCTTTGCCGTCCGACTGGAGCCTTTATTGCTGCGAACATCCTTTGTCTCTGCGAATGTCTACGGCCGTCTAAATTGAGTATATTATAAGTGCTGATGAAATCCGCGTTTTCCCTCCCAAACGCGAATCAATTCATCACGAGATGTGAGGAGTCGTCTGCGAGGCGGTGACGTCATGGCGCGCGCGCGAGCGAGCGGGGAAGACCGGCATCTCGGCTGTAATCTCGCCACGCAGCGCCAGCCTCCCTTTCTTCGCGCGCGCTCGCCACGACCTGATCAATGTCTGGCGGCGACTCCACGCCCCAAGACCGCAAAGAGGGTTGGCCTGTTCGCGTCAGTCGGGCGTACGTAATCCACGCTGTGGGGTCGGGTCAGCGTCTAAGCGGCGGCGCGTTTCACACACCCTCCCCCGCCCCGTCGTGCGCGGCTGGCTCGCCCCTCGCGCATTGTGCTCGTGACACCGCCAGCCAGCCGCCTATTGTTTTTGGCTGATGTACCGGCGCCAAAGTTGCACAAATACGTGCCCGACGAAAAGCTGCTCCGTGTAGGATTTGCGTTGCTCTTACACGGCACCCTTCGCGCTGGGCATAGAAATCGCAGCGACGAAGACAGTGGAACCTGCCAGGCGGTATTACGACGGGTCCGTGCCTCCTCCGTACAGTCAATGACTGTCTACCTTGTATACAGATGCGACTGACAGAGTAAGCGCCGTCACTGAAGCCGTCTTTGGTATGTCGCCGGACTGCACGTAATGTGACACGTCTACGTGTTTGTATGACCCCTTTAAGAAAGAAATTGAATAAAATAGAAATAATATTGCATTTTGCATTTGATGATTTTGATTGTTCAACTGTCACAAAAATGACCCAATTGACCCTGTAGGTTTGCCGAAAAAAATTACGCATGTGTGTACACCACGTATTGCAGGATATATATATATGTCTCGTAAAAATGTTGATTTTAGGTTAAAACGCGTCGAATTTTGATATAGATACGTCCGAATTCATAATCGAATTAAAACCAGAGCCAGCGATGACATCTAAAATATTTTTCTGCCGTTTCAGAATGCATATGATCTTCTAAATGTTTTATGACTAACCGGTTTGACGATGCGGTGGGCGATTTTTCCTTTCTTTTGTAATACAACGCGTTTTCCTCGCTAAATTTACCACCGAATATGGCTGTTCGCAGATGGCGCCCATTGCTGTGCCTATCGGGCAAGACAACCGGTATGCACACTGGGCGAAGTTTGTCGAAGCAGTAACAGCATTTTCTATAGCAGTATGAAAGCGCTGGCGAGAGCTATTAAATGACAACTTTCCTTTAAATGTACGTCGCAATAAGGACAGCCCACCCCTAGCACGTGTTAAATCCACAATTTGTAACCAGGAAAAGTTGACATGCGTGTTTCAGCCTAAGTCGTATAATTTACGAATCGTAAACAAGATAGTTTCGTTCTACGAGCGGGGCGTTTGACTTCCCACTGCACCTCTTAGCCTCGACGCCAATATCATGCGACACACGCACGCCGTCATGCGTGCGTGCACACTTACGCGCGCACACACACGCGCTCACAGACGCACACACACGCGAGCGCACGCACACACACGCGAGCGCACGCACACACACGCATAGTCCGTGCACGGGAATACGCACACA